ATATACTCTTGTTATAATTGTAACTGGAAGTTAATAACTTAATAAAAAGTCTCTGGCCAGAAAGGGCATCTTAATACTTAAAAAAAATATATATATTTATTATATAAAAATTACAATATATTGTACTTAGTTTTATTATTATTTTTATTATAACCATGAATGCATGTAACTATATTTTATAATTTTGATAACTCAAAATTTTGCTAGGGTAACCTCTGTTGTGTAACTAAACAAAAATGCTTCTCTTGCAATTTTATCCTAAGAGAATTACTGTATTTTCGCGAAATAATGCCCACCTGTGCGTTATTTAGAGTACGTGCATGGGCGTTATTTTGAGACAACAATAAAATTCCACTTAAACGCAAGCTATATCTAATTATTAGTTGAATTACATGGTGTGCACGTTATCCGGGACACGCATGGGCGTTATTTTGAAACCATGCATGCTATTTTTAAGGGTACGATTTTCTAAAAAACGCCCATGCCCGTTATTTTGCGAAAATACGGTACCAGTAAAAAAATAAAATGTGGGTAATTGGTAAGCATGATTAATAGTCGTCCCGAATCTAATACGTTCGTCTTATATTAATCGAGGTCATAGGCAGACATTCGTATGATTGGCTGTTTAAATCAATTTAATTTTACATTATTTATACAGTTTAAAGTACCTTTTAAAAAAATAAAACTACTACGAATAAACAAAAAAGAAGTATATAGAAAGTTTTATTAGGGTTGTTGGACTCCACTATTAAAAATAATCAAAATTCTTTTTTGTTTTAGAGAAGTTAGCATGGTGATAACCTAATTTTATGAAATCGCTATTATGCTAACTTCTCTAAAACAAAAAAGAATTTTGATTATTTTTGATAGTGGAGTCCTACAACCTCAATAAAACTTTCTATATACTTCTTTTTTGTTTATTCGTAGTAGTTTTCTTTTTTTAAAAAAGTACTTTAAACTGTATAAATAATGTAAAATTAAACCGATTTAAACAGCCAATCATACGAATGTCTGCCTATGACAGCCTTACGGTATGCCAAAAGAAGCGATGTACAAATTCTATTTCTTACCGGTGAATGTTTATCAATAAAAAAAAGCTAATTTTATCACCGCCTACGCCTATTTAATTTTCTGATTCGGAATTTTAATAAAGAAAATAGGATCTTTCAAATTCCCACTTATTTTGAAAAAAGTTAATTCTGAAACCCACTACGTATTGCAGTATTAGATAAAATTCAATCCATATTTCAGTATTTCGCAATGAAATTTTAACAAGTCGTTCTTCATTAACCAAAGCTATTATATGAGACAGAAAATAATAAATCGAGCAGGTCTTATGCTAACTTAAGTTAACGGGTCATATGGAAAATCAAAGATTTAGAATTAATTTTAACATAAAGTTGATATGACGACTCTTATTTAGAGCATTATCCGGGCCAATAGTAAATTAATCCAAGGGTTTAAATAGTAGAGTTTATAGAATTTTACAATTTTATATTGTACCTATTACAGTATATTAATATATATATAACAAATATTTAAGCCGGATATTCAAAACTTCTCAAACTTGTTCATAATTTGGGTTTATCTATTTTTTATCCATGACCCGTATCGGTATAACTTGGGTTGGGCCAATTGTTGACCTGTGACCTGCCAAGAGGCTGACTTGTATAGATCAACCTGACCCGGGTAATATACTGTATGTAATATCACAATATATATATATATATATATAGTTATTATATTATATAATACGTATAAAAACAATACATCGGGTGGATGCGGAATAAGGGTAACTCGTAGCGGGAAATAAGGGTATGATTCTTCGTTTTTATATGATGTCATAACGACTTATAAAGCAATGTTTATTATTTCAGCATTTCCCAGGAAGTCCGGGGGAAACAACAAGCTTTGCTATTTTGAAGGTTGTAAAATCTTATGATTCTGCCGTTTCGATTAATTGGATTGGTTACAATATAAGTAATTAACTAGATTAGTTATACTGTATATATTTTGTTAGTATTTTAATTATTCATATATTTGCCTTTTAATCTTCACTAGCATAAATTTGAGTTCCGGACTTACCAGTATCCCCATGAAAAAGACCCGGGTACGATTCATGGGTTCAGACAGATTATTAGTCTCCGTGCTATATCGGATCAGGGTTTACTGTATTTCAGTATTTTTTATATTGATACAGTATGTTTTAATATATCAATATAAAAAATACTCATGAGGAGTTCAGGAGGTCAGTTTCCTTTTCTGGGTTTGCATCATTTACTTACTCACACGAGTGTTTTGTTGTTTTTTTTTTTTATTTTTCCCATGATCCCCGTGATTTACGGATTTGGGGTAAACACACCCGCGTATTATCGTTATGAAATATTTGTTTATATAAACCCTCTCCATTTGATTTTTTTTTTTCCTTAGAACACGCCTATGTCTGATAGTAATTTAGACCCTTTTTAGACTAGTTATCGCATCGGGGGGACTATAAGCTCGTCTGGTTATTTACCTTTAGTGCAGACCGGTAACGTCTTGACGTGCACCGTTAGGCCTCCTAAAGCTGAATAATGTCGAGGCGATTAGACTGTCCCGTTAAAGAATGTACTCTACCCATCTTTAATGAAATATTAGTGGGTTTACTTTTTACTGGTGCAGATAAGGAATGTTCTCATTCCCTTTTTACGTTTTTCTTTGCCTTTTTTTTTTTTTAAAAGAAAAACGGTTTTTGGGCTTAATATGATGACGGAGTTGACTTTTAAAATAACGTTTTATTTTGGTCTTTTCTCGAGTATTAAGTGTGCAAAGTAAAGTCGTTGTCTGTCGGTGATTCACACTGGGTTCGATTCCCAGCAACGACCGTCTCATTATTTTGTTTATTTTTTTTTGAAAAAAAAAATAAAAAGATAAGTTATTCTTTTTTTTCGTTTTTTTCTTGTTCTTTTTTATTTAATGAGTACTAACATACTGTATATTTATTTATTTATTTATTTTTTATTAGTTTAGATTGTTCGTCGATTTTGGTGATTTGCATCGTTCGTCGTTGGTGTCGTCCAGTTCGGTATACTTTTCTCGTCCCTGGTGTCTCCCTTGCAACGTGGTTTCATCTTTCGTCGTTGGTGTCGTCCAGTTTGTGTTTTTCCTTCGTTTCTGTTGTCGTCCAATTTGGTGTTCTTTCTTGTAACGTGGCTTCTTCTTTCGCCGTTGGTGTCGTCCAGTTTTGTGCTTTCTTTCGGCTTTGGCGTCGTCCAATTCGGTGTTTCTTGTAATGCGGTTTTTTCTTTGTCGTGGTTCGGTGCTTTTTTTTTTTGTGATACAGTCTTTTCTTTCGTCGTTGGCGTCGTGCTTTTTCAATCTAATCGACTTTGGGTTAGCGTACAGATAAATATTTCTTTTTTTTTTTTTTTTTTTGTTTATTTTCGTGTTTATGCAGTACTAACTCTTCTTTTCTGGTATTGAATCGTTCACCGTTGTCGTGTTTTGCTTTTTGGTGCCGTTAATTGGAATACTTTCGTTGTTGGTGTCGAGTTTTATTGCGTTATATTTGGCGTTTTTTTTGTCGGGTTGGCGTTGTACTGGTGTGATCACTACGACATTGGTTTCTTGAATAGGCGTTAATTGGAATATTTACTGTGTTGGCGTGATTCACGCACTGTATGTAATATTGGTTTTGTGTTGAATTTTTAGCTTTGTAAGTTGTAGTTGGGTTCTAGCGTTAGGAAGTTGGTTTTAAGGTTAGGGTTAGAACTGAGATTAGTGTTAAGTGTTTTTAGGAAAAAGGCGAAAGGTAAGCGAAGTGAACCGTAGGTGTTGCTGGGCGTAAACGAAGCAAAACAAATATAAAGTGGCGTATGGGAATGTATAGCTATGCATAGATCTAATAAAATAGTATTGAACCTGACTATATCTTGAAAATATGATTTTTGATTTTACATGATTACCAAAAAAATTTTAGAAATTTTTTTTAATACTTTCGAACTTTGATAAATAAATAATAAATTTCGTAATTTATAAAGATCATAGTTGAACGAGTCTCGAGTGATGAAAACAAAACCCCATATCTTATCGTTGAGCTTTCATCGTATCCTGGACAAGATCATGGTTTGAACCACCTATGGAAAAGAAGATTTTGAGTCAAAATCCCGAACAGATTACCGAAAGAACATAACATTGACTAAATTGACCAGCATTATGGCTAGTGCTGGCTAACTTTGTCGGTATTATGTTCTTTCGGGAATCCGTTTTTCGGAATTTTGACCCAAATTCGGAAAAGAAATAACATCTAGTGATTCTGGCCAAAACTAATTTTCAGTTTAACTGCTTCGATTTTTTCAAATTTTTGCTGGTCAAATAATAAATCGCTCATAAATTTTTGATTATTGCAGGTTATTTTTATTTTTATTTTTCTGTTATATTTTTATTGCAAATAATTTAGAGATTCATAATAGATTAATTTAGTCAGTATTTAATTAATTTGGCTTTAGTCACATAATCAATTTCTATTAGCTGATATATTAAAAAAAATTTCAGATTCTCATCCTACATGAAAACCAATTATATAAATTTGTGCTACTAAAAATTTTTTTTCGAAAAGAACGATTTGCGATCAAATACTAATAAATAAATTCATTGAATTAATAATTTATCATTTCCAATAATCTTATTTGCAACTTTATATCATATACAATGTCAACAATTTATTATAAAAACAAATAATACATGAGAATAAATAAAGAAAATATATATTTAAAAACAAAGAATTTTCAATAGAGTTATGATACACATTATGCGGGTAAGAAAGACCTATTCTACAACTTAGAAACTTTAAAACAGTTGCCTTAATATATTTTTTAAAAAATATTAAAAATAAAAATCAAGACCATATGAAAAATGATCCTACCCTTAATAAAGTTTATGGTATTGTACTGTATGTATGTAATTCACATCATGTGACTAAGGGCTGCACCAAATTATAAAACCCTAGAAAAAAATGCCAATTAATCTAACAATGAAGGGCCATCATTTCCTGAAGGTGGTGCTGTTGGAGGTCGATATTGGGTATGATAAGGTGCTTGCTGATAACCATGACTAGGTTGTTGTGGACCGGTCGTTGGGGGATAATTTCCCTGTTGGATGGGAACAGGTTGTGCAGAATTATGATAATATCCTACTGCAGGTTGCTGAACTTGTGATGGAATTGGATTTGTTTGATAAAAATTTTGTGGTTGTTGTGTTGGCAACATTTGAGGGGGTTGGCTAAATTGTGGTCTCTGCATAGTCTGCACATTGTATTGTTGTGGTTGAGCCACAGGTACAGGCGAAGAATATTGCTGTTGTGCAGGAGGAACTTGAGATTGATGTAAGCCTGAAGGTGGTGGAATGTAGCCACTTTGCAAAGGTGATGCAAAACTATCATAAGTCGATTGACGGTGTTGCGCCGGCAATTGAGGCAACTGTTGGGGTGGCTGTTGTTGAGAATAACGATGATTTGTTTGTGAGTAGTTAGGTTGAGATGGTAATGAAGTTCCATATATACTAGATGGTCTTGAAAGAGATTGTTGTTGTGGTGTCACTGATTGACTACTCATCTGTGAAGTTTGTGGTTGTGATTGTGGCTGTGGTTGTTGCTGCTGCTGCTGCAGATGTTGATATTGAACATTATATGGTCGAGACAAAGGTTGTGATGCGACATTTTGTGGTGGTTGTTGAGGTTGCTGTTGAGGTTGTGCATTTACAGAATGAACAATCGGTTGATATGAACGTTGAATGTCTGATTGAAAAGGAATATAAACACTATTTTGTTGATATTCTGTAGGTAAAGGAGGAACGGGTGGACCTTGTGTCTTTGGTGACATTGGTTGCATTGAATATCCGATAGATGATTGCGTAACAATTCGTTGAGGCGTTTGCGAATAATAGGGATTATGAGATGTTGGTGAACCGGGTACTGTTATTGGTGGTGGTGCCGAAGGGCTAACACATGACGGTGCCGAAGGGCTAACATGTGACGGTGCCGAAGGATTAACATGTGACGGTGCCGAAGGATTAACATGTGACGGTGCAGAAGGATTAACATGTGACGGTGCAGAAGAATTAACATGTGATGGTGCAGAAGGACTAATATATGATGGTGCTGAAGGACTAATATGTGATGGTGCTGAAGGACTAATATGTGATGGTGCTGAAGGACTAATATGTGATGGTGCTGAAGGACTAATATGTGATTGTGCAGAAGAACTAACTTGTGATGGTGCTGAAGGTGCAGGGTATGATTCTTGAACTGAAAATGATTGTACGGTTGAGGGAATGGTATTGTCATAGAACGTTGAAATGTTGGCTGGAACATTTGCAGCGCTCGCTTCTTGGCTGGTATTATTGGCTGTATAAATATTCGTACCAGGAACCCCAGCGTTGAGTGACAATTTGTTCAATTCTTCAGATAAATGTGCTGATGTATCGTAGGATATACTCCTTGTATTAGGCATCGTTACATTTGCCACGTTCAATTTGTTCATTTGGCTTTTTATTCGTAGTTCTTCTTGATTTTGAATCGATTGAATCAAATCTTCTCGTTCTTGCTGGCGAGTCCTTGCAAATTGGTGCACAGTTTTTGAAAGATTCTCAATCAAATCATTCAGATCAACGTAAAATTGAATCCCTTTTCTATAGTGTTAAATGATTTCGTTAAGCATAAATATAAAAATTTGATAAAATATATAAAAAATAAAATAATGCTGCTTTTACAATACCTCAATCCATCCTTGACTTCCAAATAATTGTCCTTTGCTTTTTTTAATCGTTCACAAACTTCTTTTTTCCTTCGCTCTGCTTGTTCCCATCGATCTTGAAGTATTCGTGCTTCTTCTCCTCCTACCAAGTTTTTATAAAAAACTGTTAATTCCTCTAACAATGCTTGCTGATGATGAATGCTAGATGTTATCCGATTTCGGTATGGTGAAAACTTTTCAAGCTCTGTCGCAAACAACTGTGGTTCGATATTTTGAGTCTTTTTATTTAAAATTAGAAGGTGTGATATATCATCCTGATGCGTCTGTTTAAAAATATATATATATTGATATCAATCACAGAGGTAAATTAATTGTATAAAAAATTATATGTTAACATTATAGAAAATAATACCTTTTCTTTCAAATCATTCAATGTATCCATTCTTTCCTTTTTAACTTTTTGCAGCGCTCGCTTCTTGGCTGGTATTATTGGCTGTATAAATATTCGTACCAGGAACCCCAGCGTTGAGTGACAA